AAGCCAAACCAGTCACGATCTTTACTCCAGTCACCGACATCGCCTTCTCTTCCTCCGCCACCACCATCGCCTTCTCTTCCTCACGGGAACTCACCGACAACTCTGTAGACATCGAAATTTCGATGAAACAAATGTTCATCAACATATTAAAGTTTTGACGTGTCAGGGCATACATGGCATACGCCACGTGTCGTACAAATTGCACACATGGCATGTGACTCAACAAAATAGGAAGAAATACCCTTGGATGATTAAACAAGTTTTTCTTCTCAACTTGGGCAATGACAAGGTAAGCACATTTCAATCCATTACGGATCAAAGCAAGTTTTTCTCATTTGGGCAATGACAAAGCAAGCACATTTCAAGTTTAAAATTGTATTAAGTGGGAAATTAGGCCATAAATAAGACCACTTCAATTTCAATATTGCATTAAGTGGGAAAATTAGGTAATAGTGCTTGGGTGGGAAAATTTTGTGGTGGTGATTCACTCTCAAAGCCTATAAATGGGCTTCTCCATCAAGAGGAAGACACACACCAAAACCTTGAAGCCTTAAAGTTCTAAAGCTCTCAAGAAAATCCCGAAGGATCAAGAAAGCCCTCTTCATTCTTCGTCAAATCCTCCTTCAAGATCAAGCCCCGACGGCCCTTGAAGAACTTCCACCAACTCAAGATCAAGCCCAAAAGCCCTTGAAGAAAACCAACTGTTCATTCAAGATCAAGCCTCGACGGCCCTTGAAGAAAACCAACCGTTCTTCAAGATCAAGCCCAAAAGCCCTTGAAGATCAGCTCATCCATCAACATTCTAGATCAAGCCCTGAAGGCCCTTGAAGAAACTTCCATCAACCTTCAAGATCAAAGCCACGAAGACCCTTGAAGAAACTTACAACTGTTCATCCAAGATCAAGCCTCGACGGCCCTTGGATTAACAAATCTACATCTTACGGAGATCGAATCAAAGGACCAAATTTGAGAGATCGTAACCCCAAAATCATTAAACACAAAAAATATTATTTTGTGCACGTATTCTTGTCTCTTGTTTCAGGAATTTTTCGTGTTCACAAACTCAAACCCCGAATTCCCCTGGGGATTTTCAGCGAGTAATTCTGATGGGGGTGTGCTGGTGGGGGATTGGTTTTTAAGGGGTATGTTGTTGTCTATTTCTCTTTCATGGCGGATTCACCGCGTGTTCCATGTCCAGTGGTGGTGATGCAATCTGGAACCATGGCACAAGCTTTTGTAGCTCTCTGCTGCTCTGGTTATGTTGGTGGCCTTTTGCCCTTTAATGAAGTTCATGTTCCCATAAAGAAAAATCTATATAATTGAAATCAGATAAAAATATAATGAAATTTAAGCCAAACTGAAAAAAATGCAATGAGAATAGCTATCAAAAATGGAGTTGGAATTAGATATGTAGAGCCGGATTTAAGCCAAAAAGATGAAGATTGTTGTTTGGTGGCCGAGTTCAAAACAAGAAGAAGATGATTTTTTTTTTTTTTTGAAACACTTTTCTTTGAAAAAATTAAAACCTTTCTCTAGTTTACATGTCATCATAAAATTGAAATAGGGGCACACAATGTTCCAAGTCCGCACATTAACATAAATTTTAAATTATTCTAACGGGAGGATGATATTGATTTGCAACAGTTATCAAAGATAACATTAATTGATTTTTAATTTCAAATATTATCTTGATAAAGCGTGTCAATTTGAAAGATCAGATAAAGATAAAAACTCTTTGTTTTATGCTTATGAAAGATAGAGATGTAAGTTTTTTTTAGTTTGTCTTTTTGCTTATTGGGCTGGGTCTTGAAATGTAGTTGGTACTCCCCATTATATTTTGGGTTGCATTCCTTTGTGTTGGCCCATGTAACTTTTTTTTTTTCCTCTTTAATGAATGTTACTTTTCAACAAAGAAAAATAAATTCTTCAAGTCCTTAATTGGAGACCTCATCATCTATCTACTTGGGAAGCTCTTGATCCTTAATTAGTTGTAAAATTCCTATGGTGTTATAAAGTAAGTTGAATTTATCTACCCTATTAAGTCTGAAGTGCCTTTCTCCAAAATTTGATGCTATCAAGAACTCACATGTGAAAACCATTAATTAAACTAAAATTGTGCATCAAAATCCTTAAGTGAAAGAGCCATGCTACGGATAGTCAGCATGCAACTAGCAACCACTCACACGACAATCGTGATCAACATCAGTTTAATTTATATATACAAAGAAAATCTGTGAGCAATAATATCCCATGTCTTTTTTTCTAACTAGCAAGTGTGGTTACCAAATTTCACTAGCTCTAGAATTGACGCCGTGTATACTAAAGCATACCTAGTTGGTGGAATTAATCCTAATATTTTGCCAGCGGTTAACCCTCACGTGGAGTAAGTGTTAAATATAAGAGATGATGTCTCTATGCAAATCACACCCAACATGAGTGACACATGTGTCAGACCAGCATGCGCTTCACGTCTCACGTGATAGACTAATGTAATATAATGCGATGGGCCACCAATTATCAAAAATTGGTGGGCTTAGCAATACACAAAATACTTCTAACTTGTATACAAAGTATAGCGAGTGTCTAGACTTTCGGAAGAGACACAGAACCTCAATGAAAAGTACAAAAACGACACAACTTAAGCAATAAACATTTTAATGTCACAAAATAGATTTAGAAAAAAAATAACCATCCTATAATATGATCAACATGTGCGAGTGAGCTAATCATGATTGTTCCTACTTTATTATTTATTTTTACTTTTGTGATATAAACCATGTTTTGCACTAATTTACTCTTAAAAAAATGCAAAAATTTGAACTCAAAAAGTAGTTAAAAAGTACAGCCTTAACCATGGACAATACATCTTATAAACATAAAAAGAATAAATGAATTTGTGTGTGTTCGACTGATCTAAGAATCTTAACATTCCCTAACCAATTAGTTGTATTTTAAACTGCATATGCAACGCTATGTGTAAACTTTTCGATACTCTACGCAGACACCTATGCAGAAACCGCAGTGATGATGTGTCATGTTACGCGAGTTGCTCTCCATATTATTAGTGGGGTGCCCACAACACATCACTGTAGCCGTCGCCCTCCATCCATGGTCGGGGGTTATACGCAAGGAAAATGAACATGCACCTTCCCCTCTGTCTTGATCCAAAGAACCTGTCATATCTTCAACCTCCACCACACAAGAAACTCTCTACAACTCGCCATACCTCCACCTCACCAAACAAAGATTTCCCACGATGTAATCATATGCCACATAGGATCATCACGTGAAAATTTTCCAAGTCATCACTGTTTTGTTATAACAATGTTATTTGACGTACTAAATCAAAGCGAGATAAATTTCTTCACACGACAATTTTAGTTTTTTATACTCTTATTTGATTTTCGTAATTGGATTAAATAAATCAAATGAAAATAAATGATAAGATTAAACAAAAGTGTGTGAGAAGTTAGTATATAAAAATTCATTCGATAACAATGTTTAACCTGATTTATTACCGATATCAAGTTTGTTTGTTATGATTAACCGTTCAAATGCATTATTTAATTAGTCATAATTATATGCAACGAAAATCTTCAATTTATTTTCATTTTCTGATACTAGATTATACATGTCTGGTATTCTTAAATACACCAATATATTTATAATGAGAATGAAAAAATAGATTTAAAACTTGCTGTAAACGAGAACTATAACTAATATATTTTATTTATAAATGAAGAAGAATATCAGTTTTTCGTAATACTAAGCAGCTATACCTAGACTATATGTTAATGTCATTATCTCGTAATATGTAATCCCTAAGAATGAGGATCCTTCGGATCCTCTTTGTGAGGATCTTGGAGATCCTCCAATTACGTCCAATCATTGTACATCGTACAGTAAGAAATCATTATAAATTCTTTTATTTAAAATTGAATATAAACAATACTTAACGAAAACTTGTTGCACGATGTACGATGAACAGACGTGATTGGAAGATTCCAAAAATCCTTACAAAGATGATCCAAATAGGATCCTGATCCTAAGGACATGGCCACAATCAAACCCTTTCCCTGCCCATAACTTGTGGCCCTGGTATTTATCTCAAAATTCTTTGTATATTTTCTATCAGACAAAACAAATCAATAATGTTACTTAATATTACGATCTAGTGGTATTCTTCTTTATTTGTAAGTGAGAGGTCTTAGGTTCGATTTTCGTCAAAAACTAATTTGAATCATATTTTTACTAACTTATTATGAGGCTAACCTCACTCCCTCTTAATTAGTGTAGATAGGCTAAATCTATCCACTTCTCTTTAGTTTAAATAATATCATTTGTTAAAAATAAAAAAAATAAAAATAAACAAACAAACAAATCAAGTCGTGCCATCTGCTAAGATAAATTCGATTTAAAAATGCAAAAAAAGATTACGCAGAAGAATCATTATTGTTATAAGTAATTATTACCCATTGGCAGCTGATAAGTCATAGACTTTTGTAATGGGTCCAAACCTCCTTTAAGAGGAAAGCCATGGGCGTCACGTGGCCACACACCCCAATTTCTTTCCCTTGTGGCTTGCAACTGTCCAAGTTGGCAAACTTAGGAAACCGGAGGCGCCCACAGATTGGGAGTATTTTTACTCACTACCATTTAATGTGGTATATAGTCACCATTCTGTTTATCATCATTAGATAAATTTAAATTTTAAGATTCGTGTAATAGATAAACATAAATCTCAAAATTCAAACTCATTTAACGATGATAAATAAGATGATGAGCATACACCTTCAATCTGCACTCTCCACAAACTACAAGCTCTATATTGGTGGGTTGCCACATCAGCATAGAATCTATGTTCCGCTTCTAATGAAAAATTTCTTTCTTTTGAAAAAGGCATCCATAAATCCCACAACACGTGGCGCTCACCGGTGGCGATGAGGGATTGTAGTCGTAGGGCGAGCATGTACAGGAATAGATGGCCTAGGAACGCCCATACCATTAACAGCCACCAAAACGCCGCCACGCGGAGAGGAATCAAATCGTCAATCGTCACGTGCTGGTCACGTGGGGGAAAATGCGTGGACCTCAGCGCGGGATATAAAAGCTGAACTGCAGCCGCGGATATCCATCGTGGAGAAGAAGCTAAAACAACTTCGAAGCAACTGGTGAAGATATTTTTCCAATTTGCTTCACTCTTCTTGGATTGACAAAACAGCCTCCGATCCTACTTCCTTTACCGTATAAAGTCACGTAATTAAATCTGAAGTATAGGGGTATTTCCGCCACGCGGTACAAGGCTGCGACCGCGCGATTCGTACATAAATCTTGGTGTGCTGAGACGGAGGAAGCAGAAAATACGAGAGGCGGAGAAAAATGAGAGAGTGCGAACTTTGCGGAGTTCGGGCGCGGGTTCACTGCGAGGCGGACCAGGCGAGGCTGTGCTGGGACTGCGACGGGAAGGTTCACGGAGCTAACTTTCTGGTGGCAAAGCATCCAAGGAGCCTCCTCTGCCACGGATGCCAGTCGCTGACGCCGTGGACGGGGTCGGGTTCCAAGCTCACGCCGACGGTCTCTGTCTGCGAGACATGCGTGGAACGCCGCGGGAGTAAGTTCGAGCGGCGGGCGGAGGTCCAAGAAAGCGAAGCGGAGAATGACGGCGATGATGATGACGAGGAGGAGGATGATGACGATGATGATTGTGACGAGAGTGATGAAGATGAGAATCAGGTGGTTCCGTGGTCGTGTCGTTCGTATTCGGCCGCGGAGCCTCCGCTGGTGGCTAGATGTTCGAGCAGTAAAGAAGAGGAAGAGGAAGAGGAAGAGGAATATTCGGTGTCGAAGCGAATGCGTGGGACTTCACCTTTGAAGAATGACATATATTCATAATTTTTAAGATTAATGTTAGGGAGATCAAAATTTGTAAATCAAATGTTGTGGTTGTAGATGATTTACTGTTCGAGACATCAAAATTTGTAAATCAAATAACTTGTAGATGGGTAAATTATTAATTAAGTTTTAATTAACGTGTTTATTTCTTGATGACATATAGTTTTGCTTAAAAAATTTGATCTTACTAATATTATTCTAATTTTAATTCTTGGAGTGATAGTTGTCTTCACTTAGTACCACTATTTACTGAAAATTAGTCTCTCATTCAGTATAGTCGTAAAGGCATTATCTTTGCACGTTTCTTTACTCTAAGATTATGTAAGGAGATTCTATCAAAATGAGATTTCAAATTCTCTCAAAAGTGGTTTAACATTAAGTTTTGTGTTAGCATTATAAAACATGAGATGACAAAAAAGTTTATAAAGAGTTTTACTTTTAAGAGAATCTTCTTAGCATTTTTCTTGGATGAGACTTCCGAATTCAAAGAGATCGAGTCCAAGTAATAGAGGATGAAGCAAAAAATGTGAATCACAGAGGATTAGTAATGTCTTCCATGAGCATTTCTAAAACATGTGTACCAGATATGAAACATTCTGAGTTGAAATTTGCAAACCGCACCAGCGTTGCAATAGCGTAATTTTTATGACAACTAAAATTAAAACATAAAAATTGGAGATAATATGGGGAAAGGGGACCCACCGGGGCTGTGGGTGCACTTAGAATGGAAAGAATTAGGCGCGGGTTGACAAGTTGAGAGACCAAGTGGCTGGTGGTATGGAAGTAAGAGGTAGCTTTAATTTCCATTTTTGTTTGGTGAAGAAATAGTAATGTTTATCGTGTGTTTTGGTTTAGTTTTAATTTTCGACTTGATTGCTTTGCTTCCTCATTCGCATCACTTCTTGGAAGGTATATATATACACGCAGGAAAGCATTTAAATTCAACGGACAAAAATTGAGGATGTGAAAAATAAAAACATGTGTAGATAGCGTTACCCTATAAATGTTATTTCGGTTATGCACACGGAACATTACGGTATCGTCGTTACCATTATTTCGGGTATGCACATGTCGGAACATTACGGAATCTTGGCTAACCAACAATTTCTCATAATCGATCATACCCCGTTGACATTGGCATCACAAAGTCGGTTTGAAAAAAGATTCAGTGCGTTACTACGATGTCATCGTTGGACTGTTGCTTGATGCTTGCATGCCAAAGCAATTCACTTGTTAGGCATATATCTATTCCAGTTGAAAGAAAAGCCCATCATTATGCTCCCCTCTGGAACATCAGACTACCACACAACGGAACCCACAACGAATTAACGGCTTACAGCCACTCATGCGCACGTGGGCGACTATCTTTAGCATCACTCTTTAGGACAAATCCGACACGACAACATGAATGACTTTGAAAAGTAATGTAATCATGGTTGTGGTAGAAAGTACCTTACCATACCAAGGAATCCAAATATAAACATCCACTAATTAAATTTGCATCATAATAGCAACAACAAGCACATCCCTCAAAACTAAAAGGAGTAGGTGAGTCACAAAGCGGTCGAACAAAGTAGGAAAAGCGCCATAGAAACCCTAAACCTCATTCACCGTACAAATACCATCTCCAATCATCCCAAAGTTTATACATGAGAAAGAGCTGTTGGTGAGGAGAGCAAGCAGTCTGGACTCAACGTATCTTGACACCACACCAAGTCGACTCAAACATCTACACAAACTGCACCATATAAAATGAGTTGAATTGGTCACCTATACTCATTCACCATAAACGACTCAAAAACTTTACAATAACAAGTTACAAGCAAGAATAGTGACATTTGGCATTAAATGCGACCTGTACTTGAGAGGATTCAACTACGGAGATCGGAATACCTGCTAAGCTTCTGCCACAAGAAAAAAAAAAAAAAAAAAACAAATAATAGTGTCATTAATATGAAAATACAGAAAAGATTTCAAGCCGACACAATATTTGCTCACCCTCCACTCTTTTTGAACGATACAAACTCACTTGCATACGCACACAAAACAAACAAAAAAAATCTTAAAAGCTGCAACGGCAATTCAGCCCTTCCAGAACTAGTTGCAAGGTCTTTTCTTTCACACAACCTTACGTTATGCCTTTATTATCAATCAACCTTGAGGCTACAATAGTAAATACATATATGTGCATAGGGTAGCGTTTCATTCAATCCGACGTCCGGAAATTGAGAGGGGTGTGCATAAGGTAAAAATGGGTGTGTGGATAGCACCACCCATATGTATATGTTGTAATTATTATCATGCCCATTATTTCACGCAGCCCAAATTTTTATCATGCAAAATCGCTACAGTGTTACCAATGCACCAACTTGTACAGAGGAAACACTATCCCAGAGCTAATAAACCAAATTGAGTAACAACTGAAAATCACAAGAAGACAACTACTACTTAGGTCATCTCCAACCGAAGGATCCAGAGAGCCAGAGGACCGATAATAGCACGAAAACCATCTCCAACCAAAGGCTGGGTCAAAGGGCTCGTGGAATCTGACAGGGCCCCATGGAATCTAAAAGGGATGGAGGGCTGGTTGCATGGCTGGCCAGAAAAATCATTATTCCTATCGGTTATAACTGCCAGGAATCTTTAAGCTAAAATTCAAATGCAACGGCTAGCTGACATCAACTAGCAGTTGCATTTGAACTTCTTTTTTTTTTTTTTTTTTTTTACAGTTTTATTATTGTTTTTTATTTACAAAATTTTTCCTACAACTTCTATTTCACAAAATTTGTTTCATATTTTTTTCCTATAACTTCCTAAGCCATTATACAACATTAAATTAAATTAAGTAACATGAAACAACATCAAACAATATGAAACAACATTAAATAACATTAACCAACATACAAATTATACAACATAAAAAAAAACATTTAACAACATAAAACTTAAACGCCTACTCCATGCTTCTTTTGGCCCAAAGATGTGCAACAAGATCCTGTTGTAGGTACTTGTTTGTAGACCAAGTACGTATCATTCTATAGCCCCTCATGTACTCATTTATAGAGATACTACCAGTTCTTGAATTGAAAGGCCAATTAGGTGGGTTGAATTTAAGTTGTAATTTTTAAATAATAAATTATGTTTAGCCCTATGGCCCTCGGTTGGAGACAGTTTTTTGTGATAGGGCTAAAACGAGCCCTATGGCCCTTTAGCCCTTGGTTGAAGACGGAGGCAAATATGGCCCTGTATTGTTCATTAAAATATTAATTTCTTGGAGGCCAGAGGGCTAAAACGAGCCCTCTGGCCAACCCTCGGTTGGAGATGGCCTTAGTGGCCAAGATTATCCCAAAATAATGTATATTATTCAAAGTCCAATATGTGCGAAACAAAATAATAAGAATATTATTTAATGTACCTCACATGTCAATGTCGTAAAGCATCGCTTAATCAACTAGTTCAGAATAAACACATTAGAAAATAGTTCTTGGTTCTATCATGGCCAAGGGTGAAAAACATATCCCAACTCTATATTCGTTCACCTATTCACACGTGAGAGATTAAAAAGGCACAAAATATTCTTCAGGGAAAAGCCAAAATGATAAACAAGAGGACATTTAAAACCAGTACGAATAAGCATTTTGACAAAATTTTAATTCAAGGATTCCTTCTGAAATGTTATATTACCCGATGACTTGATTCGAGGCATGCAGGGGGTGAAAGAAGATATGAGTCATACAGTCATATCAGTTAAAGTCACTGATGAAACAAACTCTTTTGTTCTACTAAAAATTTGTACAGCACTGGTAGATGCAAAAAGATGTGGATGGGCCCTGACAACTAGACGTGTAGACAACAGCAAATTTACAAACTAGGTTAGTGATTTGTTTTTAAAAATTATACAAGAATCCTGATTAGGTCCCTGAACAAAGCTGTTTCATCTCAAAATCGCAACTAACAAGAAGGGACTATCCAGCAGATTGAGAATACCAGGGAGCTACCCAAACCATGCGGAGCAGATTAGCCTACTGAATTTATAGCTAAACTTTCCAGTGATATGAGCAACCTTGCTCCTCATTAAGTTTTCAAACAATTTTCTTTCCTACAGTCCTATACGAAGTGCACACTAGGAAACAATCAACTAGAAGTATCACCAATGAATTTCGCAAACATGTCATATATATGAAAAGGTTGCCAAAATTATACGGCTTTTGGCATGGAGAACTTATTCCAACATTAAACGAGAGAAGAGGTAGACTTGCTTTTGTTTATATGAAGCATCTGGCAGCATAACCACATACTAGTAAAGGGAAAGCTAATTCCAAGCAATTTTTATCTTTCCAGAAGAAAGAAAAGGATATTCTCATAGTTAGGATATTTAATTGAAAAATCCAAAATGGTCAAACCAGTGCCACAAGTGCATGGTGATGGTAAATGCTGCGTAGAACCTCTATACACAAACAAAATTCTACAAAGGATTGATGATCGTTAAGAGAGATTGGAAAGACCAAGCAACTCTAAAAGTAAGCAAACTTAAATTGGAAGGCTCCATGTTAATCTAGCGATAAAACGCATCTCGTTCTCGTTCAACAACATGTTCACATTCAAAGAACCTCATGATGCTTTCACAAAACAAGCATAAGTTGCGGACATTGGGAAAAGATCAAACTTTAATTAATCAACCTTGGATATGTAAGTCCATAACATACAATAATACAAAAACACTTGCAGTTCGCAAATACATCGGAAGCAAATTCAAATTTTGTTTTGCGAGAAGTTAGACGGATGCATCAGTAACTGCTACAATTAACAAAGTTCCCATTTGTAGCTCTCATTTCAGATATGTGTAATGTGCAACAATCATACCCAAATATGACACAATCACCAACTAAACAAACTAGATTCTGAAAACCATTAAAAATCGAAACTTGAAGTTACTAAAATTAAATCAGAGAGCCCTAACCTGACTTATGCTCCTCCTTTAGCACCGGCTTGATCACGGCCTCTTCCTCCTCATTCTCTTTAACAGAAACAACCGCCGCAGCAACAGGAGGAGCACCAGAACCACCATCAGCAACGCCGCAATTGTCATCCTCCGGAAACCGAACAACAACAACGGGACAAACACAGTGGTGTACACAATAATCGCTGACGCTTCCCAGCCTGCCGTCGTTCCCACGCTTGGCAGCGCCGACCCCTCGGCTCCCCATGATCACGGCACTGAGCCCTAGCCTCTCGACCTCCAAGCAGAGCCGCTCCTTCATATCATGGTCCTTGACGATGTGGATCTTGTACGGAATCTGCGCCTCCCTCAAGGGCTTGGCGAGATCGGCGGCCTTGGAGGCGGTGAAGGCATCGAAGTCGTTCTCAAGCTTCTTCTGCTTGACGGAGTCGTGCAGGGCGTGGTTGTCGACGAAATCAATGTCGTCGTTGGTGTTGATGGAGAGGTCAACGGAGCCCCAGTCGGCGCCGAAGAGGACGGAGGTGGGGCTGACGTGGAGGAGGATGACGGCGTCGCCGGGGCGGATGTAGTGGTCGACAGCCCAGCGGACGGCGTGGGCGCTCTCGTCAGAGAGGTCAACGGCGACGCCGAGCTTGCGGCGGGCGCCGGCGGTGGGGGTGGGAGTGGCGGCGGAGGAGGAGTGGTGACGAGGGGAGTTGGGGTGGTGTCGGGGAGAATTGGGGTGGTGGACTCTGATATGGGGGAGTTGGGGATCTGACAGATCTTGGGGCTGGGAAGGCTGCTGCGTGTGATTCATTTGGGTTTTGCAGAGGTTTCGGTTTGTGTTGTTTTCTGTTTGGATAGTAGCCAATTTGAGGGGAAAGTGAGAGGGAGCGATGAAGAGACTGTAGAAGGTGGGCTAAAAGCCTAATTTGCCACGGATCCCCATTTTTATCAAAAAATTGGGATTAGGTGTGGGAAGGACTACATATTGAACTTTAACAATACAAATTGTTTATATTTTAAATCTCGTTTCATAGATTATTCTTACAAAATTTCAATTCAATCTGAAATTATTTGCTTATTTAATTATCAAGATAAAATTTCATTATTTCTTATATAACAAAATATTCGTTAATTTCTTTGAACTCAATTAGATGTCTTAAACATTTCCGATTTGGCTAATACTTTACAAAGATGATCTATGAGGTGCAACTTGAAAAATAGACAATTCGAATCATTAAAATTTAATGTGGTGTTGACTCCACAACTAATTACTATTTTTATAAAAAAAAAAAAATATGGGGATCTCTTCTCTTAAAAGTTATATATATAAAGGATTAGAGAGAAGGGGGGCCAACGGTAGCAAGAGGGAAGAGAGAGATTTAATTGTGAGATGTTTGTTGTATTACTCTTATTGTGTCTTTATTTATAGTAGTACGATAGGTAAAAATCTTACCTATTAGGATTACTACTTTTAATAGGTAATCAACTCCTAATATGAATATAAGAGATATTCCTATATTTTATAGGATTTACACAATCATATTTCTATTCTAAATATGACTGCTCCCCCTTGAGTGTGTAAATACTCAACAAAGCATCACATAAGATCTTCAGCAGATAAGGTAAAATAGTTGATGAAGTCATCGGCACAGGGTGAATGCGAATCTCAAATATAAAGAAAGTATGCATTGATAATAAAACTCACAAAACCTCGCTATGGTAAAACCCAACGCATGGGGAAAACCTATAGACTAAGGAGAAAAGCGAAAAGTATGCATAATGTCTAAAACAAATGTCAAATAGGACGAAAGTAGTGAACTCAACTGAGTATGATCATCTCAGGATGGGTGTCTTGTCAAAACCACATTAGGTAGCAAAAACCCAGTTGGAAAAATGCTCCTAATCGTAGGAAAAAAAAAGTACATTGAGATCAAGTGAGTATGCTTCAAGATACTCCCCATGAGTTAGACATAACTTTGAAATAAGAGAACTACAAGCAATTCAACTCAAATAATTTACGCATACCGATTCCTTAGATGAGCTTCTAAAAAGTAGACTTGGGCAATGACTTGGTAAAGAGATCGGCCAGGTTATCCTGGAAACGGATTTGCTTGACTTCAATATTTTGATGTTGTTGTTGTTGGTGTGAGTAAAAGAACTTCAGCGTTATGTGCTTGGTGTTGTCTCCTTTGATTTATCCCTTTTTTAACTGCTCGATACATGTCACATTGTCTTCAAAGATCGTTGTAGGAAGGTCAACGACATAAGTAAGACCACTAGTGTTTCTAATATGTTCCATAACTGCTCTCAGCCAAAAGCACTTATGCGATGCTTCATGCAAGACGAGAATCTCAGCACAATTCGAAGAAGTCGCAACTAACGTTTGCTTGGTAGACCTTCAAGATATAGTGATGTCTGCAATGGTAAAGACATAGCCCGTTTGAGAACGTGCCCTATGTGGGTCAGACAGATATCCAACATTTGCGTAACCAACAAGACGAGAATCAATTCGAGAATCATAGAAGGCGACAACACTTGAAGATTCGTGGGTATAGAACAAGCCCAAATTTGTTGTACCCTGAGGTAGTAGAAAATGTCTTTAACACCATTCAAGTGTTTGCGTGTGGGCACATTGCTGTATCTAGCCAAAAGATTAACAACAAAGGAGATGTCGGGTCTAGTGTATTGAGCCAAGTACAATAAAGCCTCAATTGCACTTAGGTATGGAACTTTGGGTTCCAAAATCTCTTCCTCGTCTTCATTTCGATGGAAGGGATCTCGTTTAGTATCTAGAGTCTGAACGACCATAGGTGTACTCGCAGGCTTTGCTTTATCCTCATTAAAATGTCGCAACACCTTTTGGGTGTAGTTCGATTGTTGTACTAGGATTTCATCCGAACAATGCTCGATCTCTAGGCCGAGGCAGTATAGACTTTTCCTAAGATCTTTTATCTCAAATTTCGATTTCAAGTGTGTAGCAATTTCCTCAAGCTCTGCAGGAGTTCTAATGAGGTTCATGTCGTCGTCATAAATTGCAACGATTGCAAATCCGGAATGTGACTTCTTTATGAACACGCATGGGCATAATTCGTTGTTCACATAACCACGACTTGTCCAATATTCACTCAGACGGTTATACCACATCCGCCCGGATTGTTTTATTCCATAGAGTGACCTTCTCAACTTAATTGAGAGAGTGTTCTATGGTATAGAACTATTTAAATCAGTCAATGGAAGTCCTTCTGGAACTTTCATGTAGATTTTCGTATCTAGATCCCTATAAAGATACGCGTTACCACGTCCATAAGTTGCATATTCAGTTTTTCGAAAACTACCAAATTAATAAGGTAATGGAACGTTATGACGTCCATTACGGGGGAACACGTCTCCTAGTAATCAATCCCAAGGTGCTGAAAGAAGCCTTACGCTACGAGGCGTGCTTTGTACCTCACTATTTCATTCTTCTCATTACGTTTCCTCACGAAAACCCACTTGTAGGTAATAGGCTTCAAACGTGGTGGTGTAGGAACAATAAGTCCAAACACTTTACGTTTTGCGAGCGAATCGAGTTTAACCTGGATTGCTTGTTTCTAGTTTGACCAATCTGTTTTATGTCAACATTCATCAACGAAACGAGGTTAAATGTCATCGCTAAGCATGATGTCAGTAGCTACTATGTCACGCCCCCATCCCGATATATGTCTAGAATCGACACGTGATGGAAGGACAATAGTGGTACAATATAAAATACATAGAGTTAATGAGACTTGTACATATAATATACATCAGAGCTTCAGTGGAAACAACAAAGGGTGGTAATCTTACTATCGAGTGCATTGCAGCTACACTACCTGCAATCTTCTCATTTAACCGCTACGTGTTACTCTGCAAAATAACCCTACGCCATGGGAATGACACACCAAACAAAGCAAAACCCAGATAAGCTACGAAGCTCATGTGAGTGACAATAATATGTGAAAATAAATAACATTAGATGATGTCAAAGTAGTGCTACGTCCACATATGACATTTCTTCTGTATACCATATCAACTGTCAATATTATTCTGTCATTCTCTTCATATTGTGACTCACCACTCACTTTTCATCATTTTCGAGTAATCACAATGGTCCAATTTTCATATTATAATTTAACTACCATATGCCTCATTATATATATAGGAATGGTTAATCAATTTTGAATCTCACATCTTTCGATAACATTCTTAGTCATCACACAACCCGAAGTTATGTAGGAATGACACTACATCAATAATACAATCACGTATAGGAATGAGGTTAGTATCTTTTTCATAATTGCATCTCTTCATTATGAGTAGGAATGAGTCACATCTGAATCCTTTATCATTTAGGTAACACCATCATGTAAACTATTTCATTTAATTGTCACTTTCTAGATTGAGCCACACAGGCCTTCAATCTCATCTTTCATATATGTAATAACAATAATCTAGGGCCATAAAGACACACAGTTTAACCGAAGCCTACATTAGGCAACCGATTAGGATGTGGTCCCCTATTGCGAATTAACCAAGCAGAACCACTCTTGAGAATACCACAAAGGTAGTGACCTCCCAATAACAGATTAACCAAGCAAAGTCACTCTCACGAATACTAAATAAGCAGTGATCACCCATCGCAGATTACCAAGCATGATCACCCCTAAATATGTATGTATGGTGATACCCAAGTAATAAGGAACGCCCATCACAGATTAACCAAGCACGATCCCAAAGTATGGTCCCACGTAGCGGATTAACCAAGCAGGACCATCCATGGACCACTGCTATATGGTGCAGATTTTGATTATATCCCACATTACCCCATGAACTGGGTAAGCGGTCCCTTACTAGCCCTCACAAATCACAATCATTTCAAGTGCATATATATATATATATATATATTTATTTATTTATTTATTTTCGATAGCGCCATCAAGTAAACATAGCATAGTAGCACACATTTCCATATAATCATTTGGAAATCCATGTCATATCCACATAGTATATAATAAGGAATTTTATGGGTAATAACCATATCACATAATATTAATGTCACTCACCTGGGTTATTTGCACTTCTAGATTCACCAACTCTGCCTCCAAGAACCTAATACAACACACAGAACCCTACTTAGGAAACTTAATAAGACTGACACGTAAAATGAGGCCAAGACTTTTACGTAAATCAAGACACACGTTAACCGAGAACGACACGTCTTTGTGATGAGCCAAATAAGCTCCATCAAGCTTCAATAACATTCTAAAAGTAATGACACGCTAGAATAGGGTTCATTGACTAAAAAGCCAAACGTCGATCAAAGGTCATCTAAGGTCAACAAGCCTAGGTTATTCAATTCGGAAGATCCACTCATCGAATTTCTGATCCATAAGTTCTCAAACGTCCAACAACTAATAACTAGGGTGCTCACAAAATTGCACGACGATCCAACGGTCGGATTATTGTCAATTACAAAAATCGTACGGTGGTACAATTATCCAAAAAATTGAATAATTGAACCATCATATCGAATTTCAGCGAACATACTTTGGATATGGGCTCAGGACATTGAGAATGTCTCGCTGTCCAAAATCCATAAACATATTCTTCCTTATGCGCCGCCGCACATGGTGGTTTCCAGTGATTGGAAACCCATTTTTTTGGCTAACTTCAAATTCTACCAAAATTTACAATAAGATAGAGCTTAACAAGAGGAACAAGTTTTATACCTACCATGAAGTCCAAAAATGGATGGAAGAAGGTCAATTTTAATGTTAAAGCTGGCGGGTGCCTAAAGCTTCTCAACATCGATTCGCTGCCTACAATGGTCCAATGGGGTCAAATCTGGTCTGGATTTACTCTTAGGATGATGGGCTACAAGTTCTAAGTGGTGGCATCAA